TACATATACAGTAGTTACTGAAATGCTTATTTTAAATTGTAAAATACAGTTTAATTCAATTGATGCATAATGGTCAGTACATGACCATTATTAATCAACATTCAAGACCACCACACACAGGCCCCTGACTCATTACTGTTCTACCAACTTAAACTGAGCTGCATTAATGCATTCATCGTAAATAAAAATTTCACATCAAGTTTCTATACATTAAGTTATAGAACATAATAATAAAGGAACTACTTAAGGCTATTGGCCCATACAATTTAACTCATTCATAAATGTCTTAACTTATGTCTGAAACAATCCAATAATCTTATGTCTTACATGTTGCTTTGTAATTTGTTTCATAAATCTACAACCAATTGACTGATTGATAGAAAGATTAAGCCTCCCATGAGGTGGATAGGGAATACCTATGAATCTACAACCCTATTTTCAAACCAGTATTTTCAACAGAGGTTTCCCAAATCAAAATATATCCTATTTATATCCACTGTTTTGCATTCTATTTTGTATTTATATAAATAAAATTATATTTATAACCCCTTCCATTATACCCCTTCAATCATTTATATTTAACCATGAATTATCTTACTTTTTTTATTAATTAAAAGTAAAATCCCTTACTCTTTATCTCACTAGAGAATGTAAATTTAGTTTTTTTTAATCTATAAGGGAAAGCATCTAATTCCTGGGATTGACTGTCACCTTTCTCTGTACATGTTCAAGTGAATTTGTTCATTCTTTAGTATGGTGACTAAAACTGAACTATATAACTGAGGCCAGTGCAAGATAAAGCAGGAGAATAACATTTGATTTTTATAGACGATGCTTCTAGAAATCTCAATATTTTATTTGCTTTATTCTGTACATCTAACAATTGATTTTTTTTGTTGGATTAAGATTCCTACTAATTATGACTCGGATTGCATGCATTCTGATTTTGCAATATCAACATTTTCCAGCCGATATCTGGCAACACACTTTGTCATTATCTAAGCTCAGAACACCAAATTTTTCAGCATTAAATGGCATCTGCCAGCTAAAAGATAGGGTACAGTTAATTCATGTCATATTTCTAGAGATAGTGACTATCATTAATCCACATAGTGTTAATCCGATTATTAACTCCTTTGTTACATATATTATATATACATATATATACATATATATATATATATATATATATATATATATATATATATATATATATATATATATATATATATATATATATATATATATATATATATATATATATATATATATATATATATATATATATATATATATATATATATATATATTATATAGCTTTATAAGAGTATATACATTATAGCCTTATATATAATTAAATTGAGTACATCCTGTGATTAAATATACAGTAGTTGCTTTAAAGTTCAATAAATGCACTATATATTTCTCTATTAGTTAGAGATTGTCAAGTGAATGGACAAACTGACTTACACAGGGAAATTCCGACCAGACTGAAGAATCTTCTCCCATATAGCAGAAACACGTTGTTTCAGAGCATTTCGTTGAGCCTGAAGAGACTGAATGTTAGTAATTCGGAGAGGGTCGACTTCTAGATCCTCTGCTGCTGTAATAAGAGCCTGAACAGGCTCTCTTAAGGTGCCGTGAAGATACTGCTCGCCAACTAACTTCATGTATGCTTCAATGGCCTTTGTGGCTACACTGTTTCCACGGAAGAGGAGATGCTCATTTTCGGCTGTAAACAGTGAATGTTTAACCATTAATTTACAAAAATAACATGTGGTATGGTGAAAGAAGTGGGGATTATATAAGTAATTAATTCTTTTTGCCAGGGACAGGAAGCCTGTACTTAGTACAGTATTGAGATTCCCCAAAGCCTTCTGACCTTCCTTAGGATGCAACCCAAAACAATTGTCTAACGTATCTATTTTTACTACTAGGTGTATAGAGGCATTAGGTGAAAAGAGACATTCCCAACCGTTTGTCCTGCCCGAGGATTGAACTTGGGTTTCTCAGCCGATTTAGAAAAATATTTACTCACTTTAAATATTTACACGCTCACTCACCCATTCGCTGGATGTCTGTAAAAACAAGGTTGACGAGGAAAGGGATAGCACATTTTTCTGCCTGCATGATATTAATGAGAGCTGTTGCAATATCTTCCTTTGCTTTGACAGATACAACAGGCTCCAGTAACTGGCAGAGAGATGTTGAATTTTCTTTGAGGTATTGACGAAAGGAACCATATTGAGGCAGAGGCAATATATCCACAGACTGAAATCTGTAAAGAGAAAATAAATACTGTATTTAAAACAAATATTTTAATGCAAATTTCAAAATTCTAGTATGATTTAGGGCTAATAAATAATTTTTATATCATACATGAATATACAGTACAATACAGTACTGTAAATGGAAATCCGGGATCCTCGATTGGCGAGTCCAAGTTGTCGACCACTGTAGCCCATAGCATATTCTTGCCTTAGGCCTCATCATTTACTAACCTGTGCTTGATTCTTAGAGCAGGTACTTCTCTCTCTTGCTTATCACCCTTTACTGGATACCACTGTTCCTCCAGAGCGGTTCGCCCTGGACTGGACGGTTTTAAATAAATTTCTACTGTCCCTATTCTTTTACTTGCGGACCTTTTGTCTGGTTCTCTCATAAGCTCTATGCAGACGGTAGAGACCTATAAAAAAGGTTGTCACTATAGATAATGATCATGTAGGTCATTATAGTTTATATTAAGTCATTATAGTTACATATAGTTTCATGCTTTATTGATGAATTTGAAAGAAAATATCCCAACAAGGTACTCCCAAAACTCACCTGTGGAGGAGGAACTAGCTCAAAGTACTCCCCCCAGAAACACATGTCCAACTTTTGTTTGGAACAGGTACGTCCATACTGTGATGAATCCAGATTGAGTATGCAGTAGTATCTGTTGGAGAGATATGAATATTGTTAAGTCAGACACTAGTTTATGTGAAAATTTTACAGTGACAATATTTGTGGATAAAATTTGAAAAAGTGGAATGCAGTTTAGAGATACAGCATTCAGATGTTTCCCGTTTCCAAACCAAACCAAATAGTCTTCCTCTGTGCCCATAGATAGGATTCATGAACAGTCAGGCAAGATGACATTCACATTCTGCCACCTCGGAAATATTTTCAAACATCATTCCAGGGTCATATTAAATATTAGGGGAGGCACTGGAGAAAAAACTTAATCTGGCCTACAATGCCCCATAGAGGTACAATTCTTTCATAAAGGAACAAAGGCCTGCTGTATCCTCACACTGTATCCAAGTGACTGTTAAGTGAGGTCACACAAACCAGCGCCATCCTTTCCTGATGAACCTTGCTATCCATCAGCTAGTAGTAGTATCGGTGCTTACTCAGGGTTTCTAAACTTGGATCACATCACATGCTGTATCCATCAGCAATTGGAATGTTAGGACTTTCCTGAGCAATATGTTTTTACTTGTCGAATCACTATTTGTGAGTGTATTGGCCTATGCTATCTCTATTCACTTCACATGGGCATGCTTTGCAAGTCATTGTACAGTCCATCATTCTCCATCTTCTGCTTTCAGCCCAGTGCCAGGAGTGCACAGCTGTGGGTGGGTTCACTCTTTAAAAATTTGACAACTTCATTAACCCTTGAAAAGCACCAACTGCTATCTGTGATTACCTGCTGTGCTCGAATAGCCAAATGTGCTTTTTTCAAATTAGTTTAGATAACTTTTTTGTCATGTGCAATACTTTTACTTAATCATGCCATTTAAGGGTTAATAGACATTTGACATCGTTCTTGGGTTGAATCCTATGTAACTGTGCACTAGGATTCATTCTACCCATTTTCCCACTCAGTGTGTGTTGACAGTTCATTATGTGTACCCTGGGCCTTGGAAGAGTGAGGCAATTCCATTAGTTGCTGACTTCTCCAGACTTCCCTTGTTAGCAGGATGGAGAGATTTAGGTTATTGTCAGCCTAACACTCTTGGTAGCCAGGCACAACTTGGATCCTTCTGGCCATACTTTTCCTTGCATTCTGTCCGTCAGATGAAGTGGAGCTCTCATGCATACGCCATGTGTCAAGTTTGAATCTCAACTCTCATTTGTTGCCTCAATTCAGTAAGATGCTTATGAAGCAGCTGTCGTGTGCAGGGTTCACGTGATGAGATTTCATCGCTGGCAGCCTTGGTTATCAGCTATACAGACTAAGTAGGCTCCTTCCATTCTGGGATATACTTCTTATCTTGTTGCCTTGGTCTGTGTGCTGAGGATTCAGGCTGGGCAAGGAACTAAGCAGAGAGATTGCTGAAATAAGAGAGAGTACAAAGAACATACACAGCATACAAAGATACGATAAAGCACCTAAACTATTGGGCTCATCTCAAAGCTCTCCAAATGTACTCCCTAGAAAGGAGACAAGAGAGGTATCAAATAATAAACATGTGGAAAGTACTGGATGACCAGGTCCCAAATCAACACAATAAAATAACAACATACTGGAATGAACGATATGAAAGGAAATTCAGATTAGAACCAGTGAAGAGCAGGGGTGACATAGGCACGATCAGAGAACACTGTATAAACATCAGAACTCCACGGTTGTTCAACATTCTCCCAGCAAGTTCAAGAAATATTGCCAGAACAACCGTGGACATCTTCAAGAGAAAACTAAATACAGTAGTTTTCTTCAGGAAGTGCTGGACCAACCGGGCTGTGGTGGATATGTGGGCCTGCGTGCCATTCCAAGCAACAGCCTGTTGGACCATGCTCTCACAAGTCAAGCCCAAGCCTAAGTCTACTCCCTAAGCCTGGGCCAGGCTTAAGGAGTTGAAGAACTCCTAGAACCCCATCCAGGTACAGCTCAGGTTTTGTATTCGGGCAATTCAGCTTTGTGATGAGGCAAGTTAGTCTTTGTGATGATTTGTGATGAGCTTTGTGTTGTTGAACTGTGTGATAAGTTTTTTCAGTTAGTCCAAATTTCTATCCTTCGCCAATCCTCCTCCACCAACAGCAGGACTTAAGCTACTTTAGTCCCTTGTGCATGTGTTACCTGGGATGGGGATGGAGGCTGGCAGTTCTTTACTTTCAGTATACTTCAAGAGCATGCAGAGCTGGCCCTGCCTTCACAAAGGCCTTCATTTCCTTCCTTGTCTGGGTGGGCAGATCCTTTTTAGCTTCTTCACTGTGTGGTGGTTATCATTTGATCTGCTCCTCCATGCTAGGCCCTGTAAGCCTTAAGGTTTTGCTTCGGCATGAAGTGGTGATGTCTTCCTTAACCCTAGATGAAGATGTTGCAAAGGCAATGGTTCAGGATCTGGTCTGGCTACTTTTTTTTTTCCAAATGGTCTGAGGTCCCAGCTAGAAGGCATTTTTCTGCATGTGGCAACTTGCTGTCTACTTTCACAGTTTGAGATTGTCTTTTCCAGATGCCACACCTCAGTTCAGTTCATGTCCTCTATGGTCATGGATAAGCTGTCTTCAAAGGTTTTGGTCCTCTTGACTCCCTGCTTCTAAAGTGAGGTAGAATTTGCAATTTTAAAGAAATGGGGAACACATGCCTTCACTCAGTCTGGCACTCAGCAATTTGTTTCCCTTTGCAATCCCAAATTAGTCCTTTCAATTCTGGCACTACTTGCAAACTGCAACACTTAAGTTTCGCTCTTCTTGTGGGACTGTTGGGTTGGTGATATTGTAGTGGAAGTACTGTATTGTGGTTGGTGAATGTTATGTGGTGGTGCTGTGGTGTATGGTGCTGAAGTCATGTGATGGCATTGAAATATTCTGGTGGTATTGTGGTGACACTAATGTGCTACAGCACTGCAGTATGACACTGCTGTGGTGGATGCATTGTGGTGGTGGTGTTGGAGTTGTGCGGTTATATCATGTTTGCGTTGTGGGGATAGGGTTGAGGTTTAGGTAATATGGATGTGGTGTGGTAGTGTATGGTGATATTGTTGCAGTGTGGTGATATAGAGGTGTTGTGGAGTTGGTGTGGTGTAGATATATTGTACTGGTGTCGTGGCATTAATAGGATGTGGTCTCGCAATATTTGCATGTTCCTGTATTGCGTATAGCAATACGTGATACAGCTCATTTTTCAAATATCCAAGTGAAGAACATCAAAAAATACTATACTGAGAACATTTGTTACAATCATCGATCTAACCATTTTTGGTAATATTGAATAACATATGTCTACTAGAATGACTTTTTGAGATTTACTTTACACCTGGTGTACTTATAACAGTGGAAGTTTAACTGCTGAATTTACAATCCCCCACAATAATAAATCTCTACAACCACCACATTAATACATCTTTACAATATACAGAACAGGAGATGCTGTTTCACCCACAGGGTTATAAACCCATGGAACTGCCTACTCGCTGAAGCCGTAAATGCCAAACTGTGTTAAGTTTTAAAATCTACCTGGGAAAGATCATCAAGCCAAATGGGGGGAGGTGGGGGTCTTTGACAAGCCTCTGGCTTCCTGTCCTCGTCGAGGCCACTAGGGTTAGTGGCCCTCAGGTAAATCATGTATAGTGCTGTAGTTGTAATAAATAAGTGAGCATTACCTATCACTGGACAAGATGAAGAACCCAGTGGGTTTTCTTCCTATTGGGGGTGTTGTACATGCTGCTATGGTAGTATGTTCACTCACAGGATGGGTGACATTACCCAATAAACTCCCCCTTTGGGGCAAACTTAAACCACAATTTTAATTTGGATAAACTTACTTTTTCTTGTTTGGGATACCCTTGGCCTCCATGATCCAAATCTTGAGGGTGTTCTCTGTTCGTCTCGTCTCATCCTGGTTCTGTTGACTTCTCGTTCTGAAAATAAAGATTTGATCAAATACTTCTGTCTACAATTTTGTTACTTTAATCTTTTTGGTAGTACAGTAATTTGGTATTTTGTAAATAATCTTAAACTCTGTGATAAAGGGGAAATTAAAAATTGCTTTATAAGTACACCATCCTAATTTTTTTTTTAAATCAAATATATGGACTCTCACTAAACAACCTTTTCCAGCATATGGTACCTGATCAACCTGACTGTGATTCCCACATTAAACGGTTTGCAGCAGCATCCAATAGCTCTGGTTGACCCATCTATCAACTAAAGTATAGAGACCTGACAATGGGGATATTGATTCTCACATCCATCCCTTGAAGTAGTTCTGTGTGTGTGTGTGTAATTACTTAAGTGTATAATATTTACAGGATGAGAGCTATGCTCATGGTGTCCCGTCTTCCCAGTACTCTTTGTCATATAACGCTTTGAATCTACTGACGGTTTTGGCTCCCACCACCTTCTCACTTAACTTGCTCCAACCATCTACTACTCTGCAAAATAAAACTTTATAATATTTTTTGGACCCAAAGATCCATTCATCAATTTTAACATTCTGTTCATTCAAACTGAACTTTTCTCAATTATAAATTAATATTATTATATATTAGCATATTGTGCATATTTAGGCACTGGTTAGGTTAGATGTTTAGGTTCTGTTGGCGATTATTTGTATTTGTAGTACGTGGGTGAAGCATTTACAGCGTTGTGGTTTGAACAAAGTCGTCACCGAAGCAATTGTTCTGGAAGTGTTCAGACATCATTTGTTGTGAGTCGAGGACGGGTTGAAATGTGAGTTGTGTGAAACCATTTTTCATTCATAAACAGGGGGTTTGGCGACCGGATTAACGAGCATTTGACTTTGTTTATGAGGACAGGCTGTCTAGCTTTTCCTTGTAACTCTTGTTTTTCAGCTACAAATGCCACTTTGTAGCATACCTTTGCACCTTTACCAGTTTACTGATGTGCTCTTGATATATGGGCACCATACAACTGCCGCATATTCCAATTTTGGTCTCACAAAAGTCATGAACAGTTTCTTTAGTATTTGACTATCCATATTGCTAAAAGCGAGTCTGAAGTTGTAAAGCGATATATATATTCGCTCGTCGCACAATGTTTTTTGTGTTCCTCTGGTAACTGTTTAATATCCAAAACCACCCCTATATCTCCTTTTTTTTAGACTTTTTTTAATTTGTTTCTACATAATTTATAAGTTGTGTGTGGTCTATTTTCTCCAATTCCATAACATGACATTTATTCACATTGAATTCCATTTGCCACATGTCGCTCCAAGCACTTATTTTACTTAGATCCACTTGAAAGCAGTGGATCTTCTGCGTCTCCTATCTTCCCCAGTATCTTAGCTCCTCAGATTTGGCAAAATTGTAATTAAATTTTGTCAATAAAGATGTTAATAATAATAATAATAGTATCTTAGCATCGTCCGCAAATATGTTCATATAATTCTGTATTCCTTCTGGTAGATCATTTATGTAGACGGTGAACATTACTGCTTCAAGAACTGAACCCTGTGGAACTCCGCTAGTAACACTCCTCCAGTCAGGTATATTGACTCTGCCTTCCCCCCATTCACCCTCCCTCCCCCCTCTCTCGCTCTCCCCCTATACCTCTCTCTCTCTCTCTCTCTCTCCCTCCCTCTCCCACTCTCTCCTTCTCCCACTCTCTCTCTCTCTCCTGTCTCTTCTCTCTCTCCCCCTCCCTCCACTCTCCCTCCCTCCACTCTCACTCCCTCCACTCTCACTCCTCTCCTCTCTCACTCCCCTTCTCTCTCTCACTCCCCTTCTCTCTCTCACTCCCCTTCTCTCTCTCACTCCCCTTCTCTCTCTCACTCCCCTCCTCTCTCTCACTCCCCTCCTCTCTCTCACTCCCCTCCTCTCTCTCTCTCCCCTCCACTCTCTCTCCCCTCCACTCTCTCTCTCCCCCTCTCCCTCTCTATCCCGTCTCTATCTTTCTCTCCTCCCTCTCTCTCTCTCACACACACACTGTGTGTGTGTGTGTGTGTGTGTGTGTGTGTGTGTGTGTGTGTGTGTGTGTGTGTGTGTGTGTGTGTGTGTGTGTGTGTGTGTGGAGGAGGGGGAGGCAACGGGGGGTACAGCTGGTGACTGAGGCTGCTGGCACGTGTAACCAGTAACTTGAGCTCGGACACTGGACAGATGCTGCTCCCAGCTCCAGTATACGAACAGCACACTCAACACAGACATGGGGCGCGGGTCAGGGGAAATGTGAAAGTACTTGGACGAAATGTTGGACATTTGGTGATTAGGACAAGGGTGTAAAACACATTAATGGGATTAGCTATGTAGTGCAGGAACATCAGCAGAAGCACAGAGGGATCATAACTGCAACATACAAAATACTGAAAGGAATTTACAAGGTGGACAAGGACTGACTTTAAGCTTACAGTAGGACCAGAGGGAACATAATTCGATGCTGGAAAAGCAAATAGAAGGCAATTCAATTTCAATTCAATTTCTTTCTTTATTATGCACCCCATAGAAGGCAGAGTTGAAGAAATGGAAGGAAATTCTCGTACCCTGTAAGAGTGGTCAGCAAATGGAATGCACTGAAGAAAGCAGATATGAAAGAAAATGCAGATGAGGAAGAAATGATATGGAAGAAAATGCAGAATAGAACCAGTGAAGAGCAGAGGTGCCATAGGCACAATCAGAGAACACTGTATAAACATCAGAGGTCCACGGTTGTTCAACGTCCTCCCAGCGAGCATCAGAAATATTGCCGGAACAACCGTGGACATCTTCAAGAGAAAACTAGACTGTTTTCTAAAAGACGTTCCGGACCAACCAGGCTGTGGTGGGTATGTGGGCCTGCGGGCCGCTCTAAGCAACAGCCTGGTGGACCAAACTCTCACAAGTCAAGCCTGACCTCGGGCCGGGCTTGGGGAGTAGAAGAACTCCCAGAACCCCATCTACCAGCTACAGCAGGAGTTGTGGAAGCCCCCTCCATCCACAACGCCTAGGCTTGATTTGACAAAGAAATCGAACGTCAGAAACATTTATAAAGCAAAGGGTACAACAAGGCTAGTAAGAGGGGGGGCAGAAAGAGCAAGTTCACACTTCCGTACTTACTTACTTACGTACTTACCACTAGGTAAGTACTTGAGAGTTCCGGCTAGAATATATAAAGCAGATGTGTCGAGAAGGAACAATGCGACCAACTCACTGGTCGTGTAAAGGGCCCACGACCAACTCACCGGTCGTGTAGAGGGGCCCACGACCAACTCACCGGTCGTGTAGAGGGGCCCACGACCAACTCACCGGTCGTGTAGAGGGGCCCACGACCAACTCACCGGTCGTGTAGAGGGGCCCACGACCAACTCACCGGTCGTGTAGAGGGGCCCACGACCAACTCACCGGTCGTGTAGAGGGGGCCCACGACCAACTCACCGGTCGTGTAGAGGGGCCCACGACCAACTCACCGGTCGTGTAGAGGGGCCCACGACCAACTCACCGGTCGTGTAGAGGGGGCCACGACCAACTCACCGGTCGTGTAGAGGGGCCCACGACCAACTCACCGGTCGTGTAGAGGGGGCCACGACCAACTCGCCGGTCGTGTAGAGGGGGCCACGACCAACTCACCGGTCGTGTAGAGGGGCCCACGACCAACTCACCGGTCGTGTAGAGGGGCCCACGACCAACTCACCGGTCGTGTAGAGGGGCCCACGACCAACTCACAGGTCGTGTAGAGGGGCCACAACCAACTCACCGGTCGTGTAGAGGGGGCCACGACCAACTCACCGGTCGTGTAGAGGGGCCCACGACCAACTCACCGGTCGTATAGAGGGGCCACGACCAACTCACCGGTCGTGTAGAGGGGCCACGACCAACTCACCGGTCGTGTAGAGGGGCCACGACCAACTCACCGGTCGTGTAGAGGGGAGTAGAGGGCATCGTGGTCGGGCGGGCGGCTGGGACTCTGGATGTCATCGTGGGAGCGGCACCGACCCAAGGCGAAGCTGCCATCGTTGCTCTCTGTCGAGCTGAAACAAATAGCAACTTGTTCAGTGAGAGGGAGAGGGAGAGAGTGGGAGGGAGAGAGAGAATGGGAGGGAGAGGGAGAGAGAGTGGGAGGGAGAGGGAGAGAGAGTGGGAGGGAGCGTGAGAGTGGGAGGGAGTGTGAGAGAGAGAAAGAAATACCTGCCAGAGCAGCCGTCAAACCTTTGCTAGCAACAGGAATGTGGCTAGTACATTCGTTAGTATCCAGCAGACCTTGGCTAGCGACAATATATAGCAACGAGAGAATTAACTAACAAAAAAGGGGGGAGGGGATTAACTTCACGAGGGAAAGTGGGGGATTAACAGCTCATAATGGGGGAGGGAGGATTAATAGCTCTCAGTAGGGGAGGGGAGAACTGACACCTATCAATTATCAATGAGGAGGAGGAATTGACAAGTGTCAATGGCTATCTTAAGTTATCTTGAGGAGGGAGGAGGAGTTATCTTGAGGACGGGGAGGAAGAATTGACAGTTGTCAATGGGGATGGGAAAATAACAGCTCGGAAGGAAGAGGAGGCTCACTACTCACAAGGGAGAGGAGACTCACTACTCACAAGGGAGAGGAGACTCACTACTCACAAGGGAGAGGAGACTCACTACTCACAAGGGAGAGGAGACTCACTACTCACAAGGGAGAGGAGACTCACTACTCACAAGGGAGAGGAGACTCACTACTCACAAGGGAGAGGAGACTCACTACTCACAAGGGAGAGGGGACTCACTACTCACAAGGGAGAGGGGACTCACTACTCACAAGGGAGAGGACTCTCACTACTCACAAGGGAGAGGAGACTCACTACTCACAAGGGAGAGGGGACTCACTACTCACAAGGGAGAGGACTCTCACTACTCACATGGGGGGAAGGTATTACCTAGCAACAAGGTAAGGTAATTTAACCTCAAGGTAAGGTAACCAAGGTAACAATAGCAGTGCTCAACAGGGGAGTGTAGAAGCGTTAGTATCACACTAACCATATCAAAACAGAGGAAATGTACACAAAGAGGGTTAATGGGGGCTACTTCCTTGTGACAGTCCCTCCCCTCCTCTTCCAACTTTTCTTCTTCTTCCAACTCCTTATTCTTCCTTTTTACTGCCTCCTCTTTCTTTTCTTCCTCCCTTCCTCGCGCAGACGACGAGTCACAGTAACGTAGCTGATGATACGATGACCAAACCGCACGTCAGAAGATGAGGAGACGACGACGACGACGTTTCGGTCTCTTCTGGACCATTGTCAGGTCTTCTTCCTCGCACTCTCCTTCCTCCTCCTTCTCTTCTGCCTCCTCTCTACCCTCCCTCCCTCCCCCTCTTTCTCTCCCTCTACCCTCCCCCTCACTCCTTCCTCTCTAACCTCACTCCCTTTTTACCCTCCCTCATTTTCCTCCCCCCTCCTTCATCTTCCTCCTCCCTCCCTCATCTTCCTCTCTAGTCTTTCCCCTCCTCTTCCTCTCTACTCCCTTCCTCCCTCTTCTTCCTTCCTCTCTACTCCCTCCTCTTCCTTCCTCCTGGTCAGTAAGGCAATAAAAAGTCAAGGCCAGTTAATGCAGACGCAAAAGCGTCCGGCGCACCACGAGCACAAGAGGTGGGAATAGGCATCGCCAGACGTCCACTAATCACCTCTGGTGTTTTCACGGCCCCGCCAGAACGGCCGATCAAGCCCAGCACCGTCGAACGCGTCTCTTCCACGCTTCCCTTGCCCCGTTATCTGTTTACGGCAACGCGATGGGCTCTTGGGAACAAGTTACAGCCCCTGTGTCAGGTAAGTCCAATATGGGCTCCCTATAGCTCGTGCTACTTGGAGCATTTTGTTCCCAGTAGCTGAATCTTAAACTCCGCTCCCCAAGTCCGGTCTGAGGCCAGGCTTGACTGGTGGGGTTCCTTCCTCGAACTATCTTCTTCGATCCTCGAAGTCTTACAGCATCACCACCCATATCTTGTAGGAACAGTAGACGTGTCAACACTATCCTTTCTGTCTGTGTCTGTCCCGTTTCCCTTTTTCCCTCCTTCCTTCCTTCCTGTCCATCCTGCCATTATTTACTTCCTCGGTTTCCTCTTTTCCGCTTGATGCAGGTCGGTGTTCAATCCCCGACCGTCCAAAGTGGTTGGGCACCATTCCTTTCCCCCCCCCCCCCCGTCCCGTCCCACATCCTTATCCTAACCTCTTCCAAGTGGTGTATAGTCGTAATGGCTTGGTGCTTTTTCGTGATGGTTCACCCCCGTGTACGATAACTTGCCTCCTCATGTACGAGAACTTGCCTCCTCGTGTACAATAACTTGCCTCCCCGTGTACGATAACTTGCCTCCCCGTGTACGATAACTTGCCTCCCCGTGTACGATAACTTGCCTCCCGTGTACAATAACAAACCCGTGTACTCACCCTTCTGGATTTTTGGCCGGTTTATCAGTCTTTGAGCTGGACTTGCCCGTCAACTTCACGCTTGACCCGGTCTTCCCTTTTAGCTTCAAGAAGATATTCTGGAAAAAAAACAAAGAGTTAATGAGGCTAGCGTTCTCGAAGGTCATTCTCAACCCACTGTGGGTCTGCGCTCTTGACAAAAGGGGGGGGGGCCTGGGGCCGTGACGAGGATTCGAACCTACGTCCGAGAGCATCCCAGACGCTGCCAAGTTCAAGTTCAAGTAGGTTTATTGAGACAAGAAATACAATAAATACATCTCAAAGAGATAGAGTAGCTTAGGCTATTTCAACCCCCCAGACGCTGCCTTAATCGACTGAGCTACGACATGGTATAAGAATTGCAACCAGAAATTCTACTGAATTTACTTGGACCCAGCAGCCTCTCCGAGACACAAACCAGGATTTTACACAATTCCCCCCATGCACTCGAGCTATGTCAATAGGCCGTTCTACCTCTTCAACTACAGATGTATCTCTCTGAGATATTCTGCCCAATAGTCAATAAATGAGTGGTATAGTTATTAGGGTATTTTGTGATTAATGAGTGATTACATTGATCATTAATCCAAGAAGCCGAAATAATGATCACAGACTGCTGCATTTGAGCTTTTCTGTGACTGAGTTACTTGCTTGACCTGCTTGATGGGGTTCTGGGAGTTCTTCTACTCCCCCAAGCCCCGGCCCGAGGCCAGGCTTGACTTGTGAGAGTTTGGTCCACCAAGCTGTTGCTTGGAGCGGCCCGCAGGCCCACATACCCACCACAGCCCGGCTGATCCGTAACTTCTCTTAGAAAACAGTCCATTTTTCTCTTGAAGATGTCCACGGTTGTTCCGGCAATATTTCTTATAGTAGTATTAGCATTGGTAAATTTAGGTAAATATGATAGCCAATTAAGATAGATGATACATTCACGGTGAATCATGATACTACCCCTATGAGGGACACTGCTGTATTTTGATACGCAATAGTTCAACGACATACAATATCATGGAATAAATTTATGCAATCGGCCCTCAATGGCCTATTTACACTAAGGAGACTTGACCTGTTCTGCCTATCTTGATTGATTATCTACAATGATCTTGATTGATTATCTACAATGATCTTGATTGATTATCTACAATGATCTTGATTGATTATCTACAATGATCTTGATTGATTATCTACAATGATCTTGATTGATTATCTACAATGATCTTGATTGATTATCTACAATGATTTTGCCTCTCCCCCCAACACTATTGTTTTTGTGTTGATCGTAAATAATAAAGATGTTGAATAAAGATGTTTTTGGTGATCGTAATGACGGTCGATAGGCTTAACGGCCGGTGGAAAGTCACTTCTCACAATATAATAATTCCTTAAAAGACCAACTTTGTGGTCGGACTTAAAAAAAATGGACTGTTGCAGCCAAAAAAAAAAGCCCCGTTTTATAGCATTTTGTAGAGGCAGCATGAAAAAAAAAACAGAAATCAAACATTCTTAGGCCTAGAAATCAAAATATATAGCTCAAGTATAGGCCTAAGATAGAAAATATTAGACCTAGGTAGAGCAGGTTAGGTTTGGTTCTTTAGAATGCCGTTTGGGCCAATTCAGTCATAGAAAACGTGAACCTTGCGTGTGCCCAACAGTACATTTTTGTACGACTGACCAAATAGTTGCTATATGTACTATCTATTTAAGAAGGCTGGCCTGTGTGACTATTATAAACCAGCCCGTTATCCTAACGTCTCCCCAACGTCAAGAAACCGTCGTACTAAAATGCCCTGATCCTAACCAACCAGAGGACCCAAAACAGAAAACGGAACAGTATGTCACCTTCGCGAGCTGCTGCCATTTTCTAGTACGACGATTTTTTTTGGTTTTAGGGTAGAGTATACGTCAAAATGCGACAGTATAATAGAGGACAGTTTATATAAACAACCATATAGATACACAACCATATACCAACAACCAACTTTGGCGCTCAAACTGCTTAAAAAATGAAAACTAAGTCTTCGTGATTGAGGGAAAATTTAAAGTTCTCGAAATTGGACTCGTAAATGCTATCGTGTATGAAAATAGTGGCAGAGAACGTCAATAAATAAGATAAGAATGTATATGGTGAAAGGCGGAACGTACATGTAGTATAATATACCGTATGTATAGCATATATGTATGCTATACATACAGTATAACACACATAGACCAAAGACAGCCAGAGCTCAACCCCCGCAAGCACATCTAGGTACGTTGTGTGTGTCTATGTATGTATTAAACACGATGTACTGAACGGGGTGAGAATAGCTTGAGCTACCTCATCTCTTTGTGTGTATTTACCTCAATAAACTTATTTCAATTTCAATTTCAATTTCAAAAATCTAGGTACGTACAGGATTGGAGGAATGTACTTCCAATGCTCACGATGACAAACGGGACCAGCGAACAGAATCGGACACTGCTCAGCGTCAGGCTCCCACAGAACAGCTCGGTTTTCACACGCGTCTCATGGCCAGCACGCGCGGTCATCTTGAGCACCGCACCTGTGCCGGGTAAGTTACGGGCTCACCATAGCCCGTGCTACTTGCCCTGCTCCTGTGCCAGGTAAGTCCACTACGGGCTCACCATAGCCCATGCTACTTGCCCCGCTCCTGTGCCGGGTAAGTTACGGGCTCACCATAGCCCGTGCTACTTGCCCCGCTCCTGTGCCAGGTAAGTCCACTACGGGCTCACCATAGCCCGTGCTACTTTCCCCACTCCTGTGCCAGGTAAGTTACGGGCTCACCATAGCCCGTGCTACTTGCCCCGCTCCTGTGCCGTGTAAGTCAACTACGGGCTCACTATAGCCCGTGCTACTTGCCCCGCTCCTGTGCCAGGTAAGTTACGGGCTCACCATAGCCCGGGCTACTTGCCCCGCTCCTGTGCCAGGTAAGTCCACTACGGGCTCACCATAGCCCGGGCTACTTGCCCCGCTCCTGTGCCAGGTAAGTCCACTACGGGCTCACCATAGCCCGGGCTACTTGGAACATGTTCCGAGTAGCTGAATCTATAACAACAACAACAGCGGTCATCTCTACCAGCGAAGCAGGTGGTCTAGATTCACGAAGCAGTTACGCACTTACGAACCTGTACATCTTTTCTCAATTTTTGGCGGCTTTGTTTACAATTATTAAACAGTTAATGAACTCCGAAGCACCAGGGAGTCTGTTTATAACAATAACAACAGTTGATTGGCTAGTTTTCATGCTTGTAAACTGTTTGATAAATGTAACCAATGACGTCAAAGATTGAGGAAAGATGTACATGTTCGTAAGTACTTGCGTAATTGCTTCGTGAAACTGGCCCCAGGTGGTCTGAGAGACGCTACGCCCACTCGTGAGAATACCATCGTCCCCCCTCCCATTCTTAAACGCCTTCAGCCACCGTTTTCTTCGAGTCAGTTTCGCTGCGAAATCCCTTGATACAAAGAACTATATACTATAGTTAAAGAGACTGTACTCGCCTAATTATGCTTTTATGGGCTATTCATGCCCGTGCCACCTCTTGGGTGGCTTAATCTTTATCAATCAATTAATTATGCTTGCTGGGAGTTGAGCTTCGGCGCTTTGGTCCCGCCTCTCAACTGTCAATCAACCGGTGTACAGGTTCCTGAGGCTATTGGGCTCTTATCATATCTACATTTGAAACTTAAATATGGACTTAGTGTTAAAACAATTTGTTCAATTAGGAACAAATAAGGCTATCCTTCTAGAATTAAAGAGGTTATACAACCTTGAGGTTATCTAGAGATGATTTCGGGGCTTAAGTGTCCCCGCGGCCCGGTCTTCGACCAGGCCTCCATCCCCAGGAAGCAGCCCGTGACAGCTGACTAACTCCCAGGTACCTGGGAGTTACTGCTAGGTAACAGGGGGCATCAGGGTGAAAGAAACTCTGCCCATTGTTTCTCGCCGGCGCCTGGGATCGAAAGTAAACTTTTGGCATTATTGAATTTGGCCAAATGGGTGAAACTTTTTAACGGCAACATTAAATACAGAACTTAACCTCTTAACAATCCAGGCTAATACACGCTGTCAAGGCTTTATAGTACATATATGTGCTATAGATATGTACTAAAAGGACTTATGCCCCTATTTACGTAGCGGCAAATTGGTACCCAGTAGTTAAGGGTTGGCATATGTGAAGAGTCAGACGGGAGGAAGGTACGACCCTCCCTGCGGGGGTTGAGCTCTGGCTCTTTGGTCCCGCCTCTCAACCGTAGAGAGGTGTGTGTGTGTGTGCGCGCGCACACACACCTGTCCCCCGACACAATGAATTATTAAGTTATTAACTCTCCCCGAATGCCTATTTACCTCTAGGTGCAAGAAAACGTGCCCAAACTCTCTCTCTCCCTGTGCGGGGAATCGAACGCGGGTCAGATCGGTTGTGGACCTGTTTCAACTCCCTGTGTGCTGCGCGCCGCGAAAAAAATACACAAGCAACAACTGTCAAGAATGTTTTGGTTGTGTTTTTAAATTATTTATTAATTTTCCGTCGTCCTATATTAGCCGTCAGCCGGGGGCCACATTCACGAAGCAGTTACGCAAACATTTACGAACCTGTACATCTTTTCTCAATCTTTGGCGGCTTAGTTTACAATTATTAAACAGTTAATGAGCTCCACAGCACAAGGCGGCTGTTTATAACAATACCAACAGTTGATTGGGAAGTTTTCATGCTTGTAAACTGTTTAATAAATGTAACCAAAGCCGTCAAAGATTGAGGAAAGATGTACACGTTCGTAAGTACTTGCGTAACTGCTTCGTGAATCTGGCCCCAGGCCTGTGCCCGCCCAAAATCAAGCCCCTGACAAGTTCACCTTAATGCTAAGATATCTTAATAAATTTAAAAAAATAAATTAAGGTTTCAAATGTAGATATGATAAGAGCGCAATAGGCTCAGGAATCTGTACACCAGTTGATTTGACAGTTGAGAGGCGGGACCTTAATAAAGATAGACCTGTAACCCCTCGCCTTGAACTGTATCTTTCATTTCAGCAATTCGAGTCCGCAGTTTTACTCTCACTCTCACCCGAAACTAGTGT